CGGCTGGGTGGGATATAGGGCAATGAGCGTTGAGCAGTGTGCGATGAGCAATGAGCAATGAGCAGTGAGCAGCCCCTCCCTAAACAAAGTGAAGCGCAGGACGGCGTCCGGTGGATGGGAGGCAAGGAAACGCGGGGGGTTGCCACGTGCGCTACCGCCGCCGCCGCAGGCAGCACCCCTGCGGCGGCGGCAGCGGCAGCAAGCCGTGGACCCAAACGCCGTGCCGCCGCCGCCGCAGGCAGCACCCCTGCGACGGCGGCGGCAGCAAGCCGTGGACCGAAACGCCGTGCCGCCGAGTCCCGTGGCTGTGGCCGTGGGCTTCTGGCAGGAAACTACGGCCGCAACTCGGCAGCACGGGGGCGTCGCAGCGTGCCCCCGCCGCCGCCGCGCTGCCCCCCGGGCACGGCGGCGGCGGCAGCAAGCTTGGGCCCAAACGCCGTGCCGCCGAGTCCCGTGGCTGCGACCGTAGACCGTGGGCCGGAAACTGCGGCCGCAGCTCGGCGGCACGTGGTTCTGTTCAAATCGCCAAGCGTGCAGCAGCGCCGAACCACGCTTCCCGGCCTCGGCGCATGCCTTCAGGGGCCCCCTATCGCTGGTCACACCCCTCCAACACCGAACATGCGCCCGGGGGGGAGGGCGGCCCGGGCGGCCCAGGCCAAAGTGGGCCGCCCTCGAGCAAGAGGCGGCCGGTCTGTGTGCTGAATGAATGAATGGATGCGTACTACTGCAACCCGCGACCTATTCTGCCCCGAATCCTTGTTGGGTTGCTGGGCTTCATGGGGAAGCTGCCCAGGAAGTCGTCGAGGGCCGCCACGCTCGTCTGACGGCTGCGGCAGGGGCAGGTGCCAGCAGGGGCAGGTGGTGGAGCTCGAGCAGGGCACAGGTCGCAGGCCACGGCAGCAGCTGGGCGTGGGATTGAGGACGGGGAGGCCTCCTCCTGGCACGGCTGCACCCCTGCGGCGTGTGGCGGCGGCGGCGGCGCAGCCCCAGCGCGGGGCATTCACTTGCTCCTAATGGGTGTAAAGACAGACAGGCGCTCACTCGGGGCGGTCTTTGAAGGTGAAGATGAGAGGGGTGGTGCCGTCCAGGGTGAGGGTGAAGGCGTTGGCGCCCTGCTCCTTGGGTGCCAGCGTGGCGCCCTGCGCCAGCTGGACGAACATGGTGTAGGAGTCTGTGGCGGGGTCGAAGCCCAGGCTGGAGGTGGTGTTGGCGGAGAGGCGGCGGGCGGCGGCCGCGCCGTGTGCGCCCAGCGCCAGCGCCACCACGGCGAGCAGGAGGAGGCGGGCCATGCTGGCTGCAGGTCCTGCTGCGGGGTGGGCAGGGGGGAGGAGGGGCGGCGGCCCGTCAGGAGCCGCGCATCGCGCTTGAGCACTTAGCCCATCTTACGCATGGTACCCCCAGCCAGTGTGCAGGGGGCACGGGCCGCTCAGGATAGGAGTTGTGACTCGTTGCAAGCATGGGAAGGCGGGTGCCAGGCGCTGGGGAGCGCCAGGCATAGCGCACGGCAAGAGGGACGTGCACAAGGCGGGGCGGTGTTAGAGGCTATTCCTGTGGACCAACCTGCTGGATCTACTGAAATGGTTGCTGCAAGGCTGAGAATGGGTGATCGGGGGACATGAGAGGGTGTTTATGTGTGCACGTCCAGTAACGCACTTTCTTCCCGAATTCCGCCAGCTGGCTTCCCAGGTAGGGAGCCTTCCCTCCCCTTGGGTCAACCCTCTCGTTCAGCTGTGCGCGCGGTCACGAGTTTGACCGCTGAATGACCGGGTCTGCGCCGCCACGGTACTCCGCATCCCCCGCCGCTCCAAACTCGGCCCGCCGCTCCCGCCGCACACCTGTGTCGCCCAAGCTGTTTCCCTATAAGTATTACACTGGAGAGTGCAAGATGACGGTTTTGAGTCGACCAATCGAAACCTTGCCACACGTAATAAGGCTGCCAAGGTGCTGGTCGCCATCGCCTGCCGTCATGCATTGGCATCGGCGCCGGCCGTCACCGCCACTGACTCCTCTTATTAAACCCTTGCATGCCTCCTGCTCTCCATTCAATCATGAGGCAGTGCATGCATCAGAGCAGGCTGCAAATGCAAAACATTGTGCAGCATCCCCGCCCCGGTTTCCGCATCCAATGCCGCCAAGAAAGCTGTGGCTGCTCAAGGGAGGGCCCAACACAGCTGCATGCATTGTGCAGTCGCTGTAATCGCCTTCTAGCTTTATTTTGCAGGCCGCAAGCCAGCAATGGCGGAGGCATCGTTGCTCCAGCACTTGCACGGCGTGGTGCGAACTGGCGGGAGCGGCGCTGCTGCAGCCTTCGAGTGCGCCACGGCCCAGCTGCATGTTCTAGCAGCCCCCGCGCTGCGGCATGGCGATGCCGCCGACCTTGCCGACGAGCTCGTGGACCGCGCGGAGCAGCTGGTTGGCAGCAAGCAGGTGCGCGGCATGCTAGGGAGGCAACTGTGGAATGCTCCACAGCCGCGATGAGGCTCGCAGACGGGGCAGGGCACCGGCGGCGACGCCGGCGCCGCATATCGGCGGCAGCGCCCCAACTCGCACCGCGCTGCTGCTCCCCTCCCCGCCCTCGCGTGCAGGCTGCCTCCAGGCTGATGGGCCTGCGGCTGCTGCACGCCAGCCTGGCCGACTGCGACCGCCGCACCTTCCTGCGGCGGCACAGCCAGTGGGCGGCGTTGCTGCTGGCCACCCTGCGCTCTGAGCAGCAGCAGCAGCAGCAGGCGGCGCAGGCCGAGGCGCAGGCGGCAGCCCCTCCTGCCAGCGCTGCTGCGGCAGAGGCCTGCGCCTGCCTGGCCTCCTACTTTGGAAGGGTGGGGAGGATGCTGGAGGTGCCTGGGCTGCGGCGCGACGGCGCCGCGGCAGCATCCAAGCTGGCAGCCCTCCTGCTGCACCAGCAGGGCGGCCAGCAGCAGCAGCAGCAGCAGCAGCAGCAGGCCGCGTCGCAGCAGGCGCCCCCGCCGCTGCTGGCGCTGGCTCAGGGCCAGCGGGCGCTGCTCGCTGCGCTGGCCGCGCTGCCCGCCTCCTTCCGGCAGCAGCACAAGGCGCTGGAGGCGGCGCTCCTGCCGCTGCTGCTGCGGGCGGCGCCGCCCGGCGGCGCCGCCCTGCTGGCGGCCTGCGTCGCCGCGCTGCCGCGCATCCCTGGCGACGCCACCGCCTGGTCCGCTCAGTGCCAGCGCCTGCTGGCCACAGCGCACCGCCTTGCAGACCAGCTGCTGCTGCGGCTGGATGATCCGCAGCTGGCGGCGGCGGCCCGGGCGACGGTGGACCCGGCGGCACAGCCGCTGGCGGCGGCGGGCGGCGCGACAGTTGGCGCCGCGGGCGGCGCCGCGGCAGTCGGCAGCGAGGCGTATGGCGCCGGGTTTGGGCAGCTGGAAGCGGTGCTGCGCACGCTGCGGTGCATGCTGTCGGGGGCCCACCCCGCCGCCGTGCCGCTGCCCGCGGCGGGCCTCCTGCTGCTGGCGGGCCGGCTGCTGAGCGTGGACGACGGCGACGACGGCGGCGGCGCGGTACCGGCAGCTTCCGCCCGCCTGCCGCAGCTCCGCCTGCACCTCCCCGCGCTGCACGCGGCCGCGCTGCGCCTGCTGCGCCGCCTGCTGGCGGCGGCCGGCGCTGCGGCCGCGCCCCACTTTGCCGGCGCCGCCAGGCTGCTGGCGGAGCTGCTGCAGCGCTCGGCGGCCGCCGGCGGCGGCGCCATCGCCTCCTCGGCCCTGGTGAGGCGCATGCCTGGCCCGCCGATGCATTCGGCATCCTTAGCATCCTTAGCAGTCTTTAGCAGCTTACGTTCAGCAAGAGAGGGCGCTCTGCATCAGTTCATTGCTGCCCCGGGGGAGCCCAACACGCTCCCGCACCTGCCAACCCTGCCATCCCCGCATGCCCCGCCGCCGCAGGCCCGCTGCGAGCTGTACGCGGCTTCCCGGCAGCTTCTCGTGACGGCAGGGGTGGGCGTGACGCGCCACCTGGCGCCAGCGCTGCTCCAGGCAGCCAGCTTCGAGCTGTATGGGCGGCTGCAGGCGGCGCAGGATGGCGCGGCGGCGGCAGACGCAGAGGGCCCCGCCCGCAAGAAGGCACGCAAGGGTCGGCAGGCGGCGGCGGCGGCGGCGGCTCTGGAGGATGCCGGCGCGGCTTCGGGTGAGGCCGGGGCAGGGTGCTTGCCGGGCCGGCCCTGCCACAAGCTCGCCTGGCGCAGCCTCGTGCAGCCGTGGCCAAGTGGCCAGCGGGCAGTGATTCTCTCAGCTGCTGCTTACCCTTTCACTCAAGCTCAAACCCAGTGCTGAACCGTGGCGCTCTTCCTGCCACCCGTGCTGCCCCTGCCTGCAGGCACGGCCCCGCTGGATGACCTGGGCTCCGCGGTACAGCAGCGGGACCTGGCGGTACAGGCAGCCGCCCTGCAGGCACTGGAGGCGCTGTGCGGCGCGGGCGGCGCGCTGCTGTCGCCGGCGCAGCGGCGGCAGCTGGATGACGCGGCGTGCCACCTGGCCGCCACCTCAGCGGCGGCCGCGCGCCACCTCAGCGCCGACGCCGAGGCTGCGGTCGGCCCCGCGCTGGCCGCCCTGCACCTCGCTGCCCTGCGCCTGCTGCTGGCCACAGTGCTGGCGCCCGCGCCGCACCGCCCGCCCCACCTGGCGCCCGCGCTGCGCCTCTTCCACCAAGGATGCGGCGGCGGCGGCTGCGGCTGCGGCGGCCCGCTGGCGGTGTTCTGCCGGCAGGTGCGCCACCAAGCCCCCTGGGCCCTGCCTGCCGCCTGCCTGCCCGCCTGCATGTTTTCTTCTTCCCTCCCAAAAGCGCTGCCGCTGTGCTGGGAGGCGTTGGCCCTCGCACCTCTGCGCTGGGGGTGGTGATTTCTTGCCGGGCCCTGGCGCTGCTCCGTGGCTCTGCTCCGTGGCTCTCTGTGCGAGGAGGAGGGCAGGTGGTGCGGCGCCTCCTCTCCGCGCCTGACTGGGGACTCCTCCTGGGCGGCTGCCCCCTGGCGACTGCAGGCCCTGCTGTCATGCGAAGCGCTGCTGCACCCGCGCGCGCTGCCGCCGCCGGCCCCGCCACGCCCCGCGGCCCCGGCCGACGCGGCGGGCGGCGGCGGGGAGGCGCCGCCGCTGGGCATGCCCCGCTTCTGGAGCGGCGTGGATGCGGCGCTGCTCCTGCAGCAGGATGCCTTGCAGCGGCAGCAGCAGCAGCAGCAGCAGGTAGAGCAGCAGCTACAGCAGCAGGTAGAGCAGCAGGAAGAGCAGGCGGAGCGGCAGCAGGCGGAAGCTGCTCCTCCTCCTGGTCATATCGGCGGCCCGGCCGGCGGCGCAGACGAGAGCATGGCAGAGGCAGGGGAGCGGCAGCAGCAGCAGCAGCAGCTGCAGCAGCCTGGCGGGCAGCCAGGAGGGGAGTCGGGCCTCCAAGCCGCCACACCTGCGCTGCAGCAGTTGCAGCACGTCGTGGCGGCAGCGCCCACCCAGCAGCAGCAGCTCCAGCATCCGGCTGCGGCTCCCGTCTCAAGTATGGCAGCCATGCTCTCGGCGGCGCCGCTGGCGCCGGCCCCGCTCGCCAACGCCGGCCCAGTGCCGCACCCGCCGCAGCCCCAGCCCCAGCCGCAGCCGGGCGCCTTTGCACCTTCCGCAGCGCCGCTGGCACCGGCCGCCCCAGCCGCGGCGGCCGCGGCCGCGGTGGTCGCTGCTGCCGCGGCAGCAGAGGTGACTGACAGCGAGGGGTCGCTGCCCGAGATCGACTCTGGGCAGAGCGAGAGCGACGGCGAGGCCAGCACTTGACCGAGGTGCCGGCAGCATGCTGCAGGCGGTTGGTCCTGGGTGTTTGTGAGCAGCGGACGCTGGATGCGGCATGCGCTCTTACCTCCACACGCCTTGCTCACTCCATTTGGTGGGAACCGCTTCTGTACAGGTTATCTAATGTTCTGAAATGGCCCTGCTGTCGGCATCCAGCACCATTTTTAATCCCTGCATCAATGGGCAAGCCACAGCAATGGCCACTCTGACGGCAGGGGCTAGAGGGAAGATGAGTATGCACCTATGGCCTGGGCAGCAGTAGCACATCCATCCCTGCAGTTGGATCCAGCAGCGCAGGTGCTCGACTGCAATTCCACATGGCGCAGGTGGCAGGAAACGGGGACGGTGCGGCGGGGCGGCCCGCTGTGACTCAGCGCAGCGCGGCGCCCTGGGCCCCGCTCGTGCCCCCTCCTGAACAGTTTTATTGTGCTCCAACACACAGACAGCAGCGAACGAGAGGCACCCCTGGACGGCTTGTGGCTGCTCTCGCCTCCAGGTGCTCGCCTCGTTCCCCCTGGTGAACCTCCTGGCAGCAGTGGCTCGGTGGGGAGGAACCGAATTGACTGCCAGCAGCCTTCAGGGGCTGCTGCCTGGGCTGGGGCCGCTGCCGCCAACCCGTCCTCCCCCCCTGCTCGCCTGCTGCAGGGCTATTTGGATGGGTGGTGTGCGTGATGGAGCTGGCAGCCGGGCTCGATGAGGCAGCTAGACTTGGCGACGAGGAGGCAGTGCGGCATCTGCTGGCGGCAGGCGCCCGGTCGGATCAAGCGGACGCAGATGGCTGGCTGCCGATGCATGTCGCCAGCTCCTGCGGCCACGAGACAGTCCTGCGCCTGCTGCTGGAGCCTGCCCCAGACACTGCCTTGGCGGTGGACTTCTCAGGCTGGACACCGCTGCACCGTGCTGCTAACTGTGGGAGCATTGAAGAGATGAAGCTGCTGCTGTCGGCGGCACCCGCCGCAGCTTCAATGCTCAACAAAAGTAAGGAGGCCCCCATCCACCGCGCCGCCTACAGCAGCAACGCGGCAGCCGTGCAGCTGCTGCTGGAGGCGGCGCCAGAGCTGGCTTTTGCACTGGACAATGAAGGCTGCACACCACTGCACCTGGTGTTGCGCTACAGCCACGACACAGCAGAGCAAGTCGCGGAGACGGCCCGCTGCCTGCTGCGGGCGGCGCCAGCGGTTCAAACAGCCCTGGGCATCCTGCTGCAGTACAGCCAGCACTCTGCAACCCTCTACGCCGACCTGATGGCCCGCCTGTCGCTCAGCCAGGAGCAGCGGCACTCGATTCCTGCACCCTGCCCCGACCTGGCTCAAGCGCTGCCAGCCGTCCTGGAGTGATCGACTGCAGAGGCGGGGTGGCTGGTGGGGCGGCTGGCGGATGGGCAGCGCAAGCGACTGAAGGCAGCGGCGCTCAGCCTGGCGCGGGTGAAGCGGGGCATGCCGCCCCTGCCGGCGGAGCTGAGCGGGCGCATCCTGGCGCGGTGCCTGCTGGACGCCTGACCGCCGCTGCTGGTTTGCATTGGCGGCGGCGGGTGCCGCTTGTGCACACCATTTCATTCCTGTTATGCACAGTTATTATGGTTTGAAATTGCACTTCTGCCCTCACCGCCCAGCAAAAGTTTACTTGGCGCAGCGATGGGTTGGCCATAGCGCTCAGATGGCAGGCGTTGGTGGGAAGGGAGATGAGCAGGCACCACGTCCCTGGCCCGCACTGGCCCGCACTGACACAATCCCTCGTTGCATCTGGGGGACAGTGGCGCAATCCACACGTGGCGCAGGTGGCAGGGGAGGGTTCGGCGGGGGGGGGGGGGGTGCTGCGACTCAGCGCAGCGTGGCGCCCTGGGCCTGCTCGAGCCCCCTCCTGAGCAGCTTGAACTTGTTTGTGCTGCAGCACACAGGCAGCAGCGAGCGACAGGCGCCCCTGGTCGGCTTGTGGCTGCTCTCGCCTCCAGGTGCTCGCCTCGTTCCCCCAGGTGAACCTCCTGGCCGCAGTGGCTCGGTGGGGAGTCGCACCCTTGCATGACGGCAGGCAGCCTGCACGTGCAGGGGCGCTGCCTAGCCAGGCGTTCAGCCGCAGCTGCCGCCAACCCGCCCTCCCCACCTGCCCGCCTGCTGCAAGGCTACCTGGTCGATCGTGTGTGCGATGGAACTGGCAGACGAACTCAGCTTAGCAGCCCATGCTGGAGACGAGGCGGCGGTGCGGCAGCTGCTGGCGGCAGGCGCTCGGGCGGATCAAGTTGACACGAAAGACAGGCTGCCGCTGCACAGGGCCAGCTCCTGTGGGCATGAGAGAATGGTGCGCCTGCTGCTGGAGGCTGCACCAGCAACGGCTTCGGTGACAGACAAACAGGGACAGACAGCCCTGCACTATGCAGCAAACTGCATGCGACACAGCCCAGCCGCGGCCACGGCAGTAGTGCGCTTGCTGCTGGAGACCGCACCAGCCACTGCTTCAGTGGCAAATTCAGATGGATGCACACCACTGCACGTTGCAGCGCTGGCATTGACGCCTGACCCGGCAGTCGTGAGCCTGCTGCTGGAGGCTGCACCAGAGCTGGCTTTTGCACCAAATGCTGCGGGCCGCACGCCGCTGTACCGCTTGATGCACCACGGCACAGCAGAGCAAGTCGCGGAGACGGCCCGCTGCCTGCTGCGGGCGGCGCCAGCGGTTCAAACAGCCCTGGGCATCCTGCTGCAGTACAGCCAGCACTCTGCAACCCTCTACGCCGACCTGATGGCCCGCCTGTCGCTCAGCGAGGATCAGTGGCATTCGATTCCTGCTCCCTGCCCTGGCCTGGCTCGAGCGCTGCCAGCCGTCCTGCAGCGCTCGGCGGCCGAGGCGGGGTGGCTTGTGGGGCGGCTGGCAGAGGGACAGCACAAGCGACTGCGGGCAGCGGCGCTCAGCCTGGCGCGGGCGCAGCGGGACGTGCGGTCCTTGCCGGCAGAGCTGAGCGGGCGCATCCTGGCGCTGTGCCTGCTTGACCCCTGACTCTCCTGCTGATCCGCTTGCGGCGATTTCCACCTCACCTTCCCATGCCTTGATTATTTCATTGCCTGGAGAAAGCCTTGTTATGCACAGCTTTCAAGTGTTGAAATGGCCGTGCTTTTGGCAGCCAGCACAAGTGCAATTGATCGCAATCGTGCACTGCACCGCAAGCTGTGGCATGGCCGCTCTGACGCAAGGCGCGGGTGGGGGAGGAGATGAGCAGGCACCAGCGGCCTGGCCGGCAGTAGCACAATCACTCCTTGCAGCTGCGGCAGCGGCCCATGTGCTCAGCTGGAACAACTGGCGCAGGCGTCAGGAATGGGGGCGGTGCGGCGGGGCGGGCCTGCTGCGACTTAGCGCAGCGCGGCGCCCTGGAGAGGCCTACCCATGCCCTCCATAAACAAGCTCGAGTTGCTGTCGCTCCAGCACAACAACCGTAGTGGCGAGAGGTGGCTTGTGGCTGCTCTCGCCTCCAGGTGCTCGCCTCGTTTCCCCAGGTGAGCCTCGTGGCAGCAGTGGCTCGGTGGGAAAGAGCGCCGTGCATGACAGCTAGCAGCCTGGATGGGGCGCTGCCTGGGCTGGGGCCGCTGCCGCCCAACCCGCCCCCCACCCCACCCACCCCCAACCCGCCTGCTGCAGGGTTATCTGGTTGGGTTGTGTGCGTGATGGAGCGGGGAGATGAACTCATCCAAGCAGCCCGTGTTGGAAACGAGGCGGCGGTGCGGCAGCTGCTGGCGGCAGGCGCTCGGGCGGATCAAGCCAGCGGCGCGGATGGCTGGCTGCCGCTGCATGTTGCCAGCTACTACGGCCACGAGGGGGTGGTGAGGCTGCTGCTGGAGGCTGCAACAGCCACCGCGGCAATGACAGACTACCATGGACAGACAGCCTTGCACTACGCCGCGCTGGGATGGACGCCTGCAACACTGGCAGTCGTGCGCCTGATGCTGGAGGTTGCCCCAAACACAGCCTTGGCAGTGGATAGTTGCGGCTTCACGCCGCTGCGCCGTGCTGCTGGCGATCGCAGCATTGAAGTGGTGAGGCTGCTGCTGTCGGCGGCGCCCGCCGCAGCCGCAATGCTTGACGCAAGGCAGTGGGGCCCCATCCACGTCGCCGCTTCTCACAGCAACGCGGCATCCGTGCAGCTGCTGCTGGAGGCGGCGCCAGAGCTGGCTTTTGCACAGGACAATGAATGCCGCACACCGCTGCAGATGGTGCAACAGCTACCACCGCACACCCGAGCAAGTCGTGGAGATGGCGCGCTGCCTGGTGAGGGCGGTACCAGCAGTGCAGCCAGCCCTGGGCATCCTGCTGCAGTTCAGCCCGCGCTCTGCCAGCCTCTTTGCCGACCTGGTGGCCCGCCTGCCGCTCAGCCAGGAGCAGTGGCACTCATTTCCTGCTCCCTGCCCCGACCTGGCTCGAGCGCTGCCAGCCGTCCTGCAGCGCTCGGCGGCCGAGGCGGTGTGGCTGGTGGGGCGGCTTGCAGAGGGGCAGCGTGCGCGGCTGCGGGCGACAGCGCTCAGCCTGGCGCGGGTGAAGCGGGGCATGCCGCCCCTGCCAGCAGAGCTGAGCGGGCGCATACTGGCGCTGTGCCTGCTGGGCGCATGACTCCCATGTTTCGGCGTCACCAGCAGCAGCCTATTTTACCCACACACTTGTCCATTCCATCTGGCACGACCCACTTTCGTACCGCTTGCATGTTCTTAACTGGCCCCGTCTTGCTCTTGCCAGCCATCACAAGTTATAATCAGTGCAGCGATGGGCAAGCCACTGTATGGCCGCCCGCTCTGACAGAAGGCGCTGGTAGGGAAGGAGATGAGCAGGCACTGGCGCCTGGGCAGCAGTAGCATAATCCCTCCGTCATTTGCGGGCAGTGGCGCAGGCGCACTAGAGGCCGTGCCGCATGCGGCGCAGGTGGCAGCATGGGGATTCATTCATTCATAATGAGGATTCATTCATTCAGCACACAGACCGGCCGCCTCTTGCTCGAGGGCGGCCCACTTTGGCCTGGGCAGCCCGGGCCGCCCTCCGCCCCGGGCGCATGTTCGGTGTTGGAGGGGTGTGCCCAGCGATAGGGGGCCCCTGAAGGCATGCGCCGAGGCCGGGAAGCTTGGTTCCGCGCTGCTGCATGCTTGGCGATTTGAACAGAACCACGCCGCCGAGCTGCAGCCGCAGTTTCCGGCCCACGGTCTACGGTCGCAGCCACGGGACTCGGCGGCACGGCGTTTGGGCCCAAGCTTGCTGCCGCCGCCGCCGTGCCCGGGGGGCAGCGCGTCGGCGGCGGCGGCACGCTGCGACGCCCCCGTGCTGCCGAGTTGCGGCCGTAGTTTCCTGCCAGAAGCCCACGGCCACAGCCACGGGACTCGGCGGCACGGCGTTTCGGTCCACAGCTTGCTGCCGCCGCCGTCGCAGGGGTGCTGCCTGCGGCGGCGGCGGTAGCGCACGTGGCAACCCCCCGCGTTTCCTTGCCTCCCATCCACCGGACCCCGTCCTGCGCTTCACTTTGTTTAGGGAGGGGCTGCTCACTGCTCATTGCTCATTGCTCATCGCACACTGCTCAACGCTCATTGCCCTATATCCCACCCAGCCGCAGGACTCTACTGCCGCCCGCGCCCCGCCCCATCTGGCCGCTTGCCCGCCCCATCCCCCCTCGATGGGGCCCGCCCACACCGGGGCCTCCCCCCTCCCGCCCACTGCTTTCTCAACGGCCCCGAGCCGGGGCTGCCCTCATTGCATACATAGTGCGCCTTTCCCTGCTTTTCTAGTGACCTAGCGTTCCGCACTGCCGTTTGGCCAGCCCATGCTCCCGTACCGTTGCGTTTCTCCCCAATGCGCCATGCCACTTTGCCAGTCATACACACATTTCGATGCGTGCCCTGTCAGCTGCTTGCGTTGCATGTCGCCTTGCTCCACCCCTGTTTTATTGCTTCCTCTGCTTTCGCCCGGTTCCCGTCCCGTTTCGGCGGGGAGTCTATGTTGCAAGCTAGTTATTGCTTTACCAGACTTTAAGCCCACACAAGCACAAGCATGGGAAGGCGCGGCGGGGGGGCCTGCTGCGACTCAGCGCAGCGCGGCGCCCTGGGCCTGCTCGTGCCCCCCCCCCCCCAGAGCAGCTTGGAGTGTTTGTGCTCCCAACACACAGGCAGCAGCGAGCGAGAAGCACAACTGAAAGGCTTGTGGCTGCTCTCGCCTCCAGGTGCTCGCCTTGTTTTCCCAGTTGAACCTACTGGCAGTGATGGCTCGGCGAGGCGCATCCTGCATGGCTGACAACACCTCAGGGGCGCTGCATGCAGGCTGTGCAGCCTGGGCTGGGGCCGCTGCCTCAAGCCCACTCGCCCGCCCGCCCACCACCTTGCTGCAGGGCTGTCAGGTTGGCTGTGTGTGTGATGGAGCTGGAAGGCAAGCTCCATCAGGCAGCTGAGAAAGGAGACGAGGCGGCGGTGCGGCAGCTGCTGGCGGCAGGCGCTCGAGCGGATCAAGTCAACCTGCACGGCTCACTGCCGCTGCACAGAGCCAGCCACTACGGCCACGAGGGGGTGGTGAGGCTGCTGCTGGAGGCGGCCCCGGCCACCGCCTCAGCAGTCAACAGCCACGGCAAGACACCACTACATTGTGCGGCTGACAGCCTCTGGAGTGCGAGTGGTGGAGTGGTGAGGCTGCTGCTGTCGGCGGCGCCTGCCACAGCCACTCTGCTCACCGCCGACAAGCGGGCTCCCATCCACTGGGCCGCCTACCACAACCATGTGGAAGCCACGCAGCTGCTGCTGGAGGCGGCACCAGAGCTGGCATTTGCACCGGAAGGTTGTGGCTACACACCGCTGCATATGGTGCTGTTCAATCCGGACAATGTCAGAGCGCTCAGAGAGCTGGATACGGAAGTCGCGGAGACGGCCCGCTGCCTGCTGCGGGCGGCGCCAGCGGTTCAAACAGCCCTGGGCATCCTGCTGCAGTACAGCCAGCACTCTGCAACCCTCTACGCCGACCTGATGGCCCGCCTGTCGCTCAGCGAGGATCAGTGGCATTCGATTCCTGCTCCCTGCCCTGGCCTGGCTCGAGCGCTGCCAGCCGTTCTGCAGTGCTCGGCGGCAGAGGCTGGGTGGCTGGTGGGGCGGCTGGCAGATGCGCAGCGTGCACGGCTGCGGGCAGCGGCGCTCAGCTTGGCGCGGCCGCAGCAGCAGAGCAGCGCCGTGCTGCCGGCGGAGCTGAGCGGGCGCATCCTTGCGCTGTGCCTGCTGGACCCCTGACCCGCCTGCAGCAACTGAGCAGCGGCATAGCCGGTGCCCTTACTTTCACATGCCTCCTTGTCATTCCATCTGGTGGGAACCACTTGTGTACAGCCATCTTGCGCTGCTGTTAAACAGCCAGCGCACTATTGATCTGTGCACCTAAGGGCAAGCCACAGCATGGCCGCTCTGACGGCAGGCGCGGGGTGGAGGGAGATGAGCAGGCCCCAACGGCCTGGACGGCAGTAGCACAATCCCTCCTTGCATTTCGGGGCAGCGGCGCAGGCACTCAGTGGCACAACTGGCACAGGTGGCAGGAACGGGGTCCGCCCGGTGCGGCGCGGGGCGGCATGCCGCGCCCGCTTCCTGCCAACCCTCGTGCTCTGTTACTAGTATGTTGTCTGTGTTCGGCAACACCGAGTCATTTCACCGAGTCACTGCGGCCGACTCACGCCAGCCTACCAGGCTCTGCCTACGTTTTGCCCCGTTTGTGGATCTCCGACGGAGGTGAATTCATGCATTCATCAGCAGCAACGTCGCGTATAGCACCGCGGCGCCGGCCGCCATTCACTTGCCGCCGCCGCGGGTGACTTCCCGCCAGCGGGGTCAAACGCGCGCGCCCCTCCGGACCCCCTTGCTTGTAGGTTTCACATCAATTCATTCTTCAGGCGATGGCGCCATCCAGCGCTATCCGCACGCTAGTGAACCGGCTCCGCAGCGGTGGGCGCAAGGCGGTGGAGGCAGCCCGGATGTTGGCTAACCTGTTGTGTGGCGGCCCCAACAACAGAGCAGCTATCGTCGCAGCAGGTGCCATCCCGGCGCTGGTGCAGTGCATGGGCAGCAGCAACAGCAGCGAGGCTTTGCTGCAGCCAGCAGCCGCAGTTCTGTGCACCCTCTCTTACGGCAGCCCCGACGACAGGGCAGCCATTGTTGCAGCCGGTGGCATCTCAGCACTGCTGCAGTGCCTGAGCAGCAGCAGAAGTGATGACCTGCGGGAGGACGCATGCGAGGCGCTTCGTAATCTGGCCTATCGCAACCCCGACGGCAAGGCATTCATTGCAGCAGCCAGCGGCATCCCAGCCCTGGTGCAGTGCCTGCGCAGCAACAGTGAGGAAGTGCAGCTGTCGGCGGCTGGCACGCTTGCCAATATGTCCTGCCAGAGCCCCGACATCCAGGCAGCCATTGCAGCAGCAGCTGGTGGCATTGCTGCGTTAGTGCAGTGCCTGAGCAGCAGCAATGACGAGCTGCTCAGGGAAGCAACTGGGGCGCTGGGCAACTTGTCACCCGAACACGGCGCCGCCGTGGCAGCAGCTGGCGGCATCCCTGGCCTGCTGCGCTGCCTGCGCAGCAGCAGCAGCGTGGTCGTGCAGCAGCGCGCAGTCACGAGGCTGGTTAACCTTTTTTCGTGCGGCCCGGAGAACAGTGCAGCCATTGTGGCCGCTGACGGCATCCCAGTGCTGGTACGCTGCCTGAGCAGCAGCATCGAGATGGTGCAGGAGAACGGCGCTGCGATGCTGTGCGAGCTGGCATGTAACAGCCCCGAGAATGGTGCAGCCATCGCAGCGGCAGGCGGCATCCCAAAATTACTGCGATGCCTGCGCGTCAGCAGCAGCAATGCGGTCCTGGAGCAAGCAGTTACTGCGGTAGCCTATCTGGCATGGTACAGCCCCGACACCATTGCAAGCATTGTGACAGCGGGCGTCATTCCTGCCTTAGTGCACTGTCTCTGCAGCAGCAGCAGCGAGGCGGTGCTGTTTCAAGCAGCCAAGGTGCTGAAATGGCTGTTGTCTGACAGCCTCGACAACAGTGCAGCCTTTGCTGCAGCTGGCGGCATCCCTGCTTTACAACGGCTGCTGGGAAGCAGCCAGAGTGCAGCTGTATGTATGGCGTCAGCTGATTTACTTCACAACATGTGTGTCAACGGGTATGCTTCTGAGGTCTCCCAGAGTGCAGAAGGGAGTGCACCGCCGGCAGCGACAGATGCAGACCCCGCGGCGCAGACGTCCGTGGTGGTTCCTGCAGACGCAGCAGTGCCTGCTGGCTCCACTGCAGCAGCAGCGCCTGGCGCCAGGGTGTGTGCAGCTGATGGCTGCGGCAGCACGCATCGTCTGAAGCTTTGCACTGGGTGAGCGGTGTGCTGTGGCGCAGCTGCTGCGACGCTTTCCAGCAGCCCTGAGGATCCCCACCACCACAGGATCGGCCCCCACCCGCCTGCCTGCCTGCCTGTATTGACTCCCCCTTATGCCACCTTGCCTGCTGATCACCTGCAGATGCAGAGCTGTGCGGTACTGCAGCGAGGCCTGCTCCCACGCGCACTGGCCAGCACACAAGCCCGAGTGCCGACGCATGCGTGCCGCGGCGGCGGCTGCCTCCCCATCTGCCACCCCTGATGCAGCTTCTTTTGCAGCTGCCGTGTAGCACCTTGCTTTTGTCTTTTGTTCATGTATGGTCATGCTGTGTCACCTTCAACCGATTTATAACAGATGACTGGCACTACATTTACTAGTGCATGCGCCCGCTGCTGATTGGTATTGTTGAGGGAAACCGCATCCTGGCTGACGTCTAACTTTGTGCGATCACTTCTTGGTGAGGTTGGTAGGCGCGAGCCCCTTCTTCTCGAGCTTCTTGGCCTTTGCCTCGGCCTGCTTCTCCTTCTTGGCCTGCAGAAACGGGGCACGGCAGGCAAGCAGCAGGGCGCATGGGTGCATGGCATGGCAGGAGGGGAGTGCACTTGCCAGGCTGATTGGCCCCGGCGCCAGCCAGGCACAGGGTAAGAACGCAAGCAGCTGCTCCCCTGCGTTTCGATCCTGCCCTGCCCCTGCCTCGCATCTTTCGACACTGCCGGTTGATCAAAACATGCCCTGCTCTCTCTACCCCACCTCACCTTGCCTCCCTTGGGCGCGTTCATAACAGCCTTGCTGTTGCTCTTGGGCTTGAATTCCTCCTTGGGCGCCACTGCAAGCAGGAGGAGGAGAACTGCCAGCCCCATCAGCGCAGAACTACAAGGGTGCTGACAGGGGGTCGGGCGAGTAGTGTCCGCCGCCGCCTGCCGCCTGCCGCCCACAGCGGCGTGCGCCACTGTCGCCGCCACTGTCGCCGGGCGGACCACCCAGCCAGGTCTGTGGCTCGCTGCAACCAGCACCCCCTGCCCTGCGCCGCCTGGCGTTTGGTGCAGCCAGCTGTGCGGGGGCAACTCCGATCAAGGATGCATCATGCGGGGGGGCACCCGGCGACGCCTCCGACCCGCCAGTTTCAACTGCGCAGGCCACATGCAGGCGGCCAGGCGGGTCTCAGAGGCGGCCGGCTCGGCGGAGGCTCACTTTTTTCTTTTGAGGTGGAAGTGGCGATTTGGAGGGCTGGGAGCTGGAAACCGACGAGGACCCTCCAAGAGAGGCTTGCACTGGCCAAAAATCAAGCAGAACGAGCTGACATGCGCGCGAGGAAAGAAAATAAAAGTAGTTTCCTCGTTTGTTTGGTAGGGGCTGAGCATAAGCTGAACGACACCCCTGTAGCAACACAGGGTGATCGGCTGCCCTCCATAAATGTGGAGAGGGATGCAACAGACACGTTTGAAACGAAAAAAGTGAGCTTGCACCCGCCGCAATGGTCCCGCCGCGCCGCGCTGACCACCGCGCGCTCTGCCATCTCATGCATGCACTGCGACCGGCGCAGAGGTGAGTGGGGGTTGGGAGCTCTACACAGGTGCATTGGTAAGGTTGCATCAAGACCAGTCGCTGCTGTTGCCGTCACCGCCGCCCGCCAGGTGCTGCCGCCGCTGTTGCCGCGCCTCTCGAACCCACCGCCGCACATTCTGAAGAATGAAGAAGGCGACTGCCATTGCTGTGGACGCATACAGCTGCCTCTGCAGGTCATGGGAACGCAGGGTCGGGTAGCAGCCAGAGAGCAGGCAGGACCGGTGTGGTTGCCTGGATCTGGAGGCTGCGGCATGCTGCTCTGCCTGGCAAGGGGAGAGATAGAGGGACAGGCCGCCACGTGCACGCACCCAGCAGCCCAGCGGCATACCTGCAGGCTGGCGTGCTGCTGCACGTGAGGCAGCACGGTGCGGTGGCCCCAGCCGTGCCACAGCGCGGCGCTGCCGCCGCCCACCAGCCAGCCCGCAATCACCTGCGCGACGGTGTGGTACCCCAGAGCCACACGCAGCCAGGCCTGCATGCGCCAGGAGGGGGCAGGTTGGTGCACAGACCCCCGCAAGCGCCGGGCTGAACGCACAGGTGGTAGGCAGCATGCTGCCCGATCGGCGCAAGGCAACAGCGGCTGCCGCGCCGCACCAGAAAGATGCCCAGGGTTGGCACACCCAGCACCAGCGCCAGCCCTGCAGGAGTGCCGCTCTCTGCGGACACTGAAGCCGCCAGAGACACAAAGGTGGCCTGCGGGGAGGAGGGGGCACCGACACAGGAGATACTGCTGTGGTGGTACCGCTGTGGTACCATAGCGCATCGCTGCAGCTTCCACTGTCTGCCATGTATATGTTCCTGCAGCGGCTGCGCTGTGCAGGCATCCCTGCCATCTGCCAACCCCAGCCCAGCCTGCTCCCCGGCCGCCATATGGTGCCACCCCGGCTGTGAGCAGCTACAGCCAGCAATCCCACAGCCTCACCAGAAATCCCAGGCTGTTGCCGTGTGCCGAGGGCATTCCAGGGTCGGCCTTGCGCTCTGAGGGCCGAGCCTGGTTGAGCAGATACTTCAAAACCTGCTCCGGCACAAGCGAGAGTTCCAGCACAGCAGGTGGACCGCCGCAGCATGTGAGCAGTCAATGCGGGAGGCGGCGCCAAGCCGCGGCAAAGAGTGTGCAACATAGAAAGCCAGGCGCATCGCGCGGGGGGTGTTGCGCATGGGAGGCAGCGACCGAGGGGCGACAACACGCTGCCAGCCCGTGTGTGCACCCGCTCACCCGGCAATTGACTGCCGCCACCACCGAGCCCAGCACGCACCATGCCGCCAGCATGTCGCGCCGCCACAGCAGCGTGCCAAAGGCGACTGCGCTGACAGCCCACTTGGTGGCATCGTTGACGGTCTCTAACACAGGGTGCTGGCCACGCTGGCGCTGCTGCGGGGCCGGCATGGCGGCGGCGGCGGCCACAGGCGCGACGCCTGCACTGCACCGCCGCCTGCCTCTGCTGGCGATAAAGCTGCGGCGGCACCAGCTGCTACTGCACGCCAGGTCCGGGCCGCCCAGAAGGTGAGCAGCGGGGTAGGGATGCGCGTGCAGCGGCTGGGTAGGGATGGGCTTGCAGCGGTAGGCGGCAGGACCTCTGGGGGCCAGCTGCGTGCTCCTCATTGCGATTGGTAAGAATGCAATGTCCCACGCTGTCGCCATCCGCTGTTCATGCTGCCGTCATTGGCGGCGCCACGATGGCGGCAGGCCTTCCGCGACGCCACACCCTGCCCTGCCCTGCTTTCTCTTCATATCCACAACATGATCAAGGTTTACCCATAAGCTTTGGACAATGAAAGAATGCAAAAAAATGTACAATGGCGGAAGATGGGAGGCAGGTCAGTGTCGGTACGGCTGCATCCACGGCTGCAGGCCGGCTGCCACCAGCAGGCTGCGCCAGAGGCGCCACCGCCGAGGCTGCCCTGCCATCAGCGCTTGCTGCAGCCGCTGCATGTGGCCAGCCGAGCCAGTCAGGTCGGCCGCCAGAGCGCTGGAGGCAGCCGCCCGGTTGCTGACGCTGTCCACAAATGGAGCCGCTGTGCTGCTGCCAGCAATCGCGGTGCCTGCTGCCGCCACTGGCACAGCGCCTGCTGGCGCCAAGAGGCTGCCGCTGCCGTTGCCACTGCTGCTGCCCAGGGGCGGCCCCGAGCCGTTAAGCCAGGAGGGGTGCAGCTCTGGGTGGCTGCCGCACAGCACAGCCCTGCCGCCGCGGCTGCCCACTCGGCACAGTAGCGCCGCGGCGGCGCCGCCGTGCTCGGGGTAAGTGGCCAGCACGTGTGCCCCTTGCCGCTCCCACGGCTCCCACCGCTGCTGCTGCGTCCGCTCCTTGGCCGGTGCAGGAGGGGCCTGCCCCTGCTGCTGGTCCCGAGGCGCTGCGCTCCTGCCGTCGCTACCTGCTGCACCTGCTGCTGCCGCCTGGGGGGCCGCAGGGTCTCCAGGCAGCCAGAAGCCGGGCCCTCCGTTGACGTAATCGACGCCCTCCTGCCAGTCAGCCTCCGCCACAGATAACGGGGCCCACTCTGCCTGGTCCCCGGCCGATTCAACTGCTCCTGAGCATGCCATTCCTCGGTCCTGCTGGTGCTGCTTCTGTTGCTGAGGGAGCTCGCCGCCTCCACTGCCCCTGCTCCTCCTGCCGCCGCCACCGCTGCTGCTGCTGCTGCTGCTGCTGCTGCAGCCTGCAATTCCATCCCGGCCTTCCAGGCAGCGGAAGCGCAGGGGCGCCGCCACCGCGCCGTCTTCGCTCTCGTAGCAAAACCCTGGGTAGATGGAGCCGGCGGCGGTGCCTGGAAAGAAGCGCAGCTCGCGGTCGCCCACCACCTCCAGCCTGCACTCATGTTGCCAATGGCCAGGGGGGAGGGAGGTGACGGGCATGGCAGGCGGCAGGTGAAGGGCGTGCCAAGAGCTGCTGGAACGGGAGGGGCGTGGTATGCTGAAGCGGGGTGTATGCGGCACAGAGCGGCGGCGCGGCGGCGCCCGCCACACGCCACCATCAACGAATGGGGAGCTAAGTCGACCCTCAATAGTCCCTGCGGCTTCTCGCACCTGGACCCAGGCTCAAACTCGACGCGAGCGCAGGCGTAGTATGCGCCAGCACAGAGGCCCAGGTAGGCTCCTCCCCCGTCCACATACTCTGCAGCGGCGGTCAGCGGGGCAGGGCAGGGAGGGAGAGAGGTCGCTGCGCACAAAGGAGGAGCCGGAGCCGCTGCTGCTGGCGGGCAGCATGCATGCCGGCAATATACGGAATAAGCATGCAAGCACTCGCAGCAGCAGCAGCCACAGCGCTCGCAGCGGCCTCACCCCTGATGAGCGCATTGCCGCGGCCGTTCAGGTGCTGGCAGTATGGCAGGTCGGCGCCGCCCGGCATGACCAGCAGCAGGCAGCCTGCTTGCCAGCCGCCCGCCAGCAGCTCTGCAGCATCCAGGCTGGCCACCTGCACGGCCGGTACCAGCGCCTCCCGCAGGCTGTGCAGCGTGCTGAGCACGGAGCGGGTGCCGGCGCCGGGGCCGGAGTAAACGTAGGCGGCTGGGGGTGGGCCCTGGCCCTGGCCTGTGTTACCAGCCGCGGCGGCGGCGGCGAGAACGGCGGCGGCGGCAGTGGACCGCATGTGGGCCGCACCGCCTGCTGCGCGCCCCAGCTGGGCCTGACGGGATGGTGGTGGAGGCGCTGCTCTCGCTGGGCTGGCAAGTGCGCCGCAGAAAGCAGACATGCTGCACCGCAGGCTGGGCACTGCTGCAGCGGCCTGAGAGGGCAGCAGAAATTGTAACGAACTGATGCCGGTCGTGAAAGCGGATCCAATGAGCCTGCAGGGCCTCCTGAGCTCTGTGGGCCATGACTAGCCAGAATGCGAGGGGGAGGAAAGGGGCCGTTTATGACCAATTCAAGGGCCCTGGCCTTGCACTCACTGCATGTATGGTGCCTGGTGCCTCATATGATTCCACTCAGATAGCCTCCAAGCCCATCTGACGGCCGATGCAGCCATCGCGATGGCGTCGCTGCTCTCAGACCTCCTTTTCCCGGCTGTCCAGGCCAGCGGACACATACTGCTGGTCTTCATAGTTCGCCTGCATGCCGCCTGGCGCGCCCTGACAGCGCTGTGCACCGCGGCGGCGGCCCGCCTGGCGGCAGCGGCGCCGCCGCTCCGCCCCAGGCTGGCTGCGGCCTTTGCGCTGCCGCCCAGGGAACACATTGGCAGCCGGCCGCGGCCGCCTACCATACTGGGCGTTGCGGTGGCAGAGGAGTTGGCGGAAGTCGACTGGTCGGCAGCCGGCGAAGCCCTGGGCCTGCTGCTGTCCTGGTGAGCGTCTCGACCCGCCCAGTGCTTGCGGTTCTGGGCCAGCCCGCCTGGAGGTCTCACCTTAAGTCGGAAATTGTGTCTGACATCACGAGCACATAAAGCCACCTGCTGCAAGCTGTGCTGGATGCTCTCTTGGTGACGCGGGAGAGCTCTGCGGCCCTGCTCGTTCTAACTGGCTGCCTGCCTGGGTGCAGGGCGCACGACCGAGGCTTCTGCCAGGTGCTTTTTTACGAGCCGACAGGCAGCCTGCAGCAGCCGCACCGCCTGCGGCAGCTAGAACTGCAGCTGCTGCAGCGGCGGCTGTGCGGCGCGGTGCGGCTGCAGGCCGGGTGGCAGGGTCGTGCAGGGGACAGCGCCGGCGCGTTGGCAGGGTCTGTGGCGCCGAGCAATGGAGGCACGCTGACGGCCGTGCTGCTGTCAGCGGCAGACGGGCAGTGGCCGCTGCTGGCGGCAGCAGCAGCAGGCTCTCCTAGCAGTGAACCCTGTGGCAACGGAGCTGGAGCAACTGGTGACGGCAGCCTGGCCAGGACTGCGGCAATAGATGCCGCGATAGCGGCGCCGGCGCGGCTGAAACGGAGGCTGCAGGTGGTCGCGGGGCCTCTGGCGGGCCTCGAACCAGATTTCGTTCTGGTGAGCTGGCAGGGAGGTGTGCACAGGCAGGCAGGCTGTGCTTTGTGGGTTGAGTGGCCGGATGCACCTTGACCCCCCACTGTGGCTTCCTCTGTCGCGAAAGCACCAGGGGAGCGCGCGCCCCCTCTGCTGCCGTCCTGACTGCCGCTTGTCGCGGGGTGCTCGCTCCCCATGCGGCTCCTGGCGCAGGTGACGGGCCCGGCGCTGTCACTGGCTGGCTTCCCTGCCTGGGCGGTGCGTGTCAGCGAGATCTACGGCGTGGGCCCGCTGGCGGCGCTGGATGCGGGGCGGCTGCAGGCGGCGCTGCGCCGCTTCTGCACCACCAAGCAGCGCTTCGGCAAGTGACGGCGGCGGCCAGTGTCGCCAAGTTTTTTGCTTTCCAGGACCGTGTAACGTCAGCGTTGGTTGACTTCTGCTGGCAGCCTCTGCTGCTCAGTAACGTGAGATGGCTGCAGCTTCGGCTGGCACCCCTGGTTGCGGTTTGGCTCCCGGAAAAACAACGGGGCCGAGCCTCCCACGAGGGGACCAGCACCCGAGGGTGCACGGCATCGTGTCGGGGCTGTAGGGCCAGCACGCAGCACGGCATCCTCACTGAAGACCCCCCGGTGGGGTCAGGCCGGAACACCCTTCGTTGCTGCCCTTGCACGGCCACCAGGCACGGGATCAGGCCCTCGAACGCAGACCAAAACACCCCAGAAAAATCCGCGCGGCCTCATGCTCCAAGCCGTGCTGCAGCCTAGCTCAGCCGTCCCGGGGCGCTGCCATAGACGGGGGGAACATGTTGGACGCCCCGCAGCAGCGCGGAGCGGCGCGCCGCCACTAGGGCTTCCAGCGGCGGCGTGGCGGCGCGCACTCGGCGGCGGCAGCGGCACGGCGGCGGGCAGGCGCCTGACGCGAGCCCAGAGCCAGCAGCCCGCGGTTGACTTTGTCATGGTGCCCTGGGATGCGGAGCACGAGACCTGGTGGGTCCTGCCGCTGCGCCGTCGCGCCCAGGGCCTGCGGGGCGCGATCGAATGCTGCCCACGCCGCCGTCGCTGCGCCCTGCCGTCGCTGCGCCACGCCGCGGCCTTGCCGTGGTCGCCCACCTGCTGGCGCCGCCCTATGCCTGCCCGCGTCACCGCTGACCCATAGCCGCGGCATGGCACACCAAACCGCTGCAGGGACACAGAAGCTGAGGAGCGCATGGCAGCACTGATGGCGCGCTTCAAAGCGGCTGACCTGGATGGGTGGGTGCTCTGCTCTGCCGGGTGCCTGTTGCGACACAAGCAAGCACAGGCCACGCAGCAGCGCCGCCAGCAGCCAGCTGCAGCGCGCTGCCCTGCCGCCGGCTAACCTCGGCGGGGGCCCTGCTGCGGGCCGAGGCATGCCCCGGCCCCGCGCCCCGACCCACCGCTGCTCCTGGGCGCGCTTGACCCCTCCTCTGCAGCAACGGCGTGATCGACCGGCAGGAGCTCCAGGTGCTGCTGGAGCGTGTGGGAGATGGGGAGGACGAGGTGCCCATGGTGCGTGGCGGCCGGCTTACACAACAGTCGCTGGAAGGGCAGGGCAGGGCAGGACTGTGCAGCGGCAGCGTGGGCTTCGGCTTCGGCCTCTTTCTGTTGCATCGCGCTGCTGCCGGCCAGAGTTGCTGCAGAGTTGATGGCTGCTGCCCGCCTGTTGGCCCGGCGCCTGAGCTGCTGTACTGCTTGTACCGCTCACGTACCGCTTGTGTACCGCAGCACTGGCTGACCGATGAAGACATCGGGGAGGTGATGGCGCAGTACGACACCAACAGGGACGGCGTGATCAGGTGGGAACAGGCGGTACTGGCGTGGCGGTACAGCCAGCAGCGGTGCATGCAGGGCTGATTCATGGGAGGTGGCACGCAAGGGAGGGGCTGTACCCTTGTTCTTGCGGGACAGCACAGGTCCAGCGGGCGTCCACACCGCCCACCGGCACGGCGCCCTCTGTCGCGTGACGCGTGTGCGACACCCAGCGCGCCCCGCTGCGCTTCTTGCCCCTGCCTCCCTTCCTCTGCAGCTTTGAGGAGTTTGTGCGCATGGCCCAGGACAACATCTTCCTGACCGGGAAGCTGCAGGAGTACAGCAAGGCGTTCAAGTGCGAGCAGCTGCCGCGCAGCTGCCTGCTGCGCCGCCGGGCGCTGTGTGCGCCGTGATGGCTACATGCGCTGCTGTTGTACCTGCCGCCTGCCTTTTGTCTCTGCGGCCGTGCTGCCCGCTCCCGTTCGCCTGCCGCCGGCTTGAAGCGCCCCGCCCGCTTCGCCCCTGCCTCCCGTGGCCCTGCAGAGCGGTGGATGCCGGCGGCGACGGCTCCATCGGCGCCACAGAGCTGTTCCGGCTCTTTGAGAAGCTGGGCAACCCGGTCAGGTGAGGGCTCTCCTCATGTTCATATTAAGGTGCTGGAGGTGCTGGAGGGTTGCGGCTGCAGTACACCTGCGGTACACCCTGTGGCGCTTGACAGGGGGCGCCCCGCGCGCGCGCGCCACCACGCGGGCGGCCACGCCGCCGGGCATTGCTCACCGCCGTGCTTCTTCTCCCGTGCTTGCCTCACTGCCCTTTCTTCCTGGTGCAGCTACGACAAGCTGGTGAAGATTATGGAGCAGTACGACAAGGACCAGTCGGGTGGGTGTTGGGTTGGATGGCGGCGTGGGTGGCTGGCAGGGCGCAGGGCTGAGCTCGTGGGCGGCGACGCCGCATGCGGGGGTGCCTGGCCTGATCGTACCGCACGTGCTGCCTGTACCGCAGGCTCCATCGACTTTGCCGAGTTCCTGCGCATGTTCCGGGATGAGCTGCTGGACCTGCAGGTAGCTGGGGGGTGGGTTCGGGTGTGGTGTGGTGTGGTGTGGTGTGGTGTGGGGTGGGGTGGGTGTGGTGTGGGGTGGGGTGGGTCTGCAGGTGGGGTGGCTGGGGCATAGAGATGCTGTGTGGAGAGAGAGAGAGAGAGAGAGAGAGAGAGAGAGAGAGGGAGGAGATCTTAGAGAGCGTGGTCGTGATGAGATTGTGGTGTGCATCTGTTGCCCCACCCTGCCAGCCAACTCCCCAGCCCCAACAACCACGCCCCCCACCCTGACCCGCGCCGCAGCAAATCATGGAGTTCATCAAGCAGCGGACCGCGGAGCGGGAAAGCAGGGCGGCGGCCAGGGCCGCTGCCGCCGCGGCAGAGGCGCCGCCCGTGGCGGCGGAGCCCGCGGGGCCTCCCAAGGCCGCGCCCAAGCTGCTGCCGGGCGGCGTGAACCTGTTTTTCAGTGAGGAGGAACTCGATGCGGGTGAGGCTTTGATGGCGGCAGTGGCGGCGACGTGCGTGGTGCACCGTTGTGGTGGCAGCGGGCTCCCGGATCCCCCGGGCCAGCCTCCAGCCTCGCTGGCCCCCCTCCCCGCCAACCCGCCACGTGCCGGCAGCCTATCGCCGGCATGGCGGCCCACCCTCGTGCCGCCGCCGCTCGTGCCGCCGCCCGCTGCCGTGCAGTGCTGGCTGCCAACAAGGACAAGGTGGTGGTGCTGATGGCCAGCGTGACGTGGTGCCGCCCCTGCAAGGCGTTCCAAGAGAACTACGAGGTGCGGCGCCGGGGTGGGCTGGGGTCACTTTTGGGTGCTCTGTGTCGCTGGTCGTGCTGTCTGAGAGGCATTGCCTGCCTGCATGTGTGTGTGTGTGTGTGTGTGTGTGTGTGTGTGGTGGATGTGTTGGCTGCGGCGGCGTGCTGCTTCGGCTGTCACTGCCTGTTTAGTGGCTCGAGCGCATGTACCGCCTACCTGTACCGCAGAAGGCGGCCCAGCACTACAGCGACGCCGTCTTCCTCAAGTTTTACGGTGTGCAAGCGCACAGCCAGCTTTGGATGGGCTTCTCTGCTTCCATTCTCCCAGTGCCACCCTGTCCGCTCATCCAGCATCGCCAAGCAAATGCAGCAACCGGCTCACTTGCTGCCGCCTCACCTGCGTTCCGCACCATGTGAACCGCCACTCCTGCCACTGCCGCTGCTGCTGCCGCCGCTGCAGGCAACTCTAATGAGAGCACCAAGGCGCTGTTCAAGGACCGCCTCAAGTGCCGCACCACGCCCTCCTTCTTCTTCTTCCGAGGAGGTGGGTGCAGCTTGCAGTCTGCGGTTTCCTGAGTTTCGGGCCCCAACGGTGGTGGCCCTGTCTGCATTCATTTGTGTGTGTTGTGTGTGTTATTGCTTTGTTTGCCTATGGGGAGGCTCCTCGTTTGGGCCCGTGTGTGCGGAACAGCTGGGCTGGGGCTCTGGAGCCTGCCGTGACTGCTGCCGCACTGCGGCGTGGTCCGTGCTGCAGGTCAGATTGTGGAGAGCTGCACCGGCGCGGTGACCAAGCGGCTGGAGACCAACCTGAGGAAGGCGAGGAGAAGCTGCCCCATCCGGCATAGAGCTGCTGTGAACAACTGCGTCTGCATGCTGTGTCAGCGTTCTTTGCCTGCACTGTTTGCTGTGCCTGCTGGCATTGCAGCCGAGCACCGCCATGGTGCAGCCGCCATCGTGCAGACACTCGCTCCGCTGCTGCTCTGTCTGTGCCGCAGGCTTACGGGCCCGATGGCGACAAGGAGGCGCTGCTGTGGCTGAAGGAGGAGGACTTGGCGACGGTGGCGTAGGGCCGCTGCAGGAGGAAAGGAGGCGGCAGGAAAGAATCAGGGCGGCAGCTGGCATGCGTCGAAGCTGCGGCTGGCGGGAGCGGCCGACGCCGCCTGAATGGCCGGCTGGCTCCCTGGCTGGCTGGCGCCCCTGAGGAGCCCTCTACTGCCGAATCGTGAGCTTGCCCCCGTGTTGACCGGCTATTTTGTGGTGCCTGCACTTGAATAGCTTCCCTTGTCCCCTTGTCTCCACCATCGACACTTCGCCATATGATCGCAGCCAACTCGCTGTCTTGAATAACGCTTTACGGGAGGCTGCCTTCCTTCTCGTTGCATGTTCCCCTGTTTTGCCCACGTTGCTAGCAACCCTAACTCTGTGTGGCCACCACCAACTCCGTTGAGCAGAAGCCGCAGCAGAAAACAAAAGCTGTGTGCGGCCCCGCCCAGGCACGCCGCCAGTCTGCGCTGGTTCTGGCACTGCATGCCGCAAAGCCCCTATGATGTGCTGCGTGATCTGGCAACGCCCCTCCCGGCGCTGCCTTTGTCATGGCAACGTGAGTTCCGCTTTTCTGCTTGAAATGACGGGCGCGGGGGCGCGGCGTGCGCGCTGGGAATACAGGGAGAGGAGCAGGCACTTGACACATCTGCGTAAAGGCGCTTGCGCTCTGTAACATGCTGGCTGGCCGCTGGCATCCGCCATGTGCGGCAATGGGGGCTGCATTAATATAGCGCTGCGCCAACAGGTCAGCACGCCTGTGACTCAGCGCATTTAGGAAAGCAAAGGCCTCGGCTGCCAAAACGTGTCACCTTTCATCATCACTGTACACACTCGTGCCTCCATGTCCGCCATCGACCCTTTGGAGAGTCAGGCCGCCCATGGGGAGGCCAAGGAGGCTGCGGCCGGCCCGAGCACTGCTTCCGCCGCCGCTCCTGCCAGCGCTCGCCAGGAGGCGTCCAAGGGCGCCCCGGCAGAGCGCCAGGGCTCGCTGGAGCGGGACCTCAAGCAGCAGTGGGAGCAGGCCAGGAGGCACATGGGGGCAGGCGGGGACACACTGGTGAGGCGGCCAAGTGCCGGTGGCACGCGGTGTGCCAGGCCCTGCCAGCGCCCTTCCCCCAAGTCGCGATGCGTCAGCGCTTTGGCTAACGGTCCCCATGCATGCCAGCTGCAGCCTGATGCCCGGCTGCTGGCGCCGGATGCCTGACCCCCATGCATGCCAGGCCCACCCGGCGGCAGCGCTGGAGGCTGCCGACACGCCGGCGCAGGCGCTGGATGTGGCCAGCCACAGGCGGGATGTGACGGGGCAGGCCGAGGCGATGCAGCACCAGGTGGCGGAGACCCTTCGTGAGTGCTGCAGGCCCGGGGGCGCCGCCAGCGCCAGCGGTGCATGCTGAGATGGTGCCACACCCACGAACACATCATCAGCCGCGCCAGGCAGCCTGTCTGCTGAACCCCGATCGGCCGGCCCTGACCCCCTGCCCCTGCAGCCCATACGCAGCAGCACCGCTGAGCACCCAGGGATGGCTGCTCGGCAGAGTTCTGGGGCTGAGCGGCGCATCTGGAAGTGCCTGCTCGCCTCCCTGAGTGCTCGTCGTGGGAATGGTGATGCTGTTGATTAAACTGCAGCCCAGCATGCAACGCAGTGGAATAGCAGGCAGATGAATCAGCAGGGGGGAAGAAGCTGCTCAGGGGAGGTCACCTCCCAGCTCTGGAAGGCACAGCGCCAGGATGCGCCCGCTCAGTTCTGCCGGAAGGGGCGGCACGCCCTGCTTTGAATTCGCCCGCGCCAGGCTGAGCGCCGCTGCTCGCAGCCGTGAACGCTGCCCCTCCGCAGCCGCTGGCGAAGTGCAGCGGCAGCAAACCGTCCATGAAGGCTTGACCCGCCCGAGCGCCTGCCGCCAGCAGCTGCTGTGCTACCGCCTCGTCACCTTCACGAGCTGCAGTGTAGAGCTTGCCTTCCAGTTCCATCTCACACACGATTAACCTGGTAGCCCTGCAGCAGGCGGGCGGGCGGGCAAGCGGGTTGGCGGCAGCGGCCCCAGCCCAGGGAGCGCCCCTGCATATGCAGGCTGCTGGCAGTTATGCAGGGTGCTCCCCCCCATCCCAATGCTGCCAGAGGTTCACCTGGGGGACGAGGCGAGCACCTCGAGGCGAGAGCAGCCACAAGCCGACCAGGTTTGCCTTGTTCGCTGCTGCCTGTGTGCTGCAGCACAAACAAGTTCAAGCTGCACATGAGGGGGCACGAGCAGGCCCAGGGTGTGCCGCGCTGCGCTGAGTCGCAGCAGGCCCGCCCCCACGCCCCACCGTCCATTGTCCTGCCACCTGCCCAGTTGTCCCAGTTGAGTGCCTGCGCCGCTGCCCCGAACTGCAAGGAGGGATTGTGTTACTGCCGGCCAGGCCGCAGATGGCTGCTCCTCTCCCCTCCCACCCGCTCCTGCCGTCAGAGCGGCCATGCCGTGCCCTGCCGCTCGGTGCACTGATTAAACGTTTCGCGGCGGGTGCCAACAGCATACGGACCATTTCTATAACATGAAAGCTGACAGAAGCGTAACATCAACAGATGAAATGAGCAAGGCGGGTGGAGGTAAGGGTGCCACATTTGCCGCATCTGCTTGGCTGCAACAGTGGAGTCCGGGCTCCTGCAGGCACAGCGCCAGGATGCGCCCGCTCAGCTCTGCCGGCAGTACAGCGCTGCTGTGCTGCTGCGCCCGCATCAGGCTGAGCGCTGCCACCCGCAGCCGCTTGCGCTGCCCCTCCGCCAGCCGCCCCACCGGCCACCCTGCCTCGGCCGCCGAGCGCTGCAGAACGGCAGGCAGCGCTCGAGCCAGGTCGGGGCAGCCCGCACGAATCGAGTCCCACTGCTCCTGGCTGAGCGGCAGGCGGGCCGCCAGGTCGGCCAAGAGGGTGGCAGAGCGCTGGCCGTGCTGCAGCAGGATGCCCAGGGCTGGCTGCACCGCTGGCGCCGCATGCACCAGGCAGCGGGCCACCACCATTTGCTCTGCTTTGCGGCGGTGGCCGTGTCCAGCACCCAATGTAGCGGTGTGCAGCCTTCATTGTCCTGTGCAAAAGCCACCTCTGGTGCCGCCTTCAGCAGCAGCTGCACGGCTGCTGTATTGTTCCAATAGGTGGTGTAGTGGATGGGAGCCCGCATGTCTGCGTCGAGCTTTGCGGCTGCGGCAGGTGCCGCCGACAGCAGCAGCCTCATCACTGCAAAGTTCCGACGGTCAGCAGCAAAGTGCAGCGGTGTCCAGCCTCTGCGACCCACCATTAAGGCTGTTTCTGGGGCGGCTGCCAATAGCAGGCGCACCATTTCCGGGGCTGCAGGCGCTTCCCAGGATTGCTCCATTGCGGCATAGTGCAGTGGTGTCTGCCCATATGAATCTGCCACTGCCGCCGTGGCTGGTGCAGCCTCCAGCAGCAGCCTTGCCACCCCCGCATGCATGCGGTGGACCCAGCTGGTAGCGTGAAGAGGCACCCGGCCGTTTCTGTTGACTAGGTCCGCCTGAGCTCCTGCTGCCAGCAGCTGCCGCGCAGCTGCCTCGTCGCCGTCGCTAACTGCCTGATACAGCTTGCCTGCCAGATCCATCACACAAACGGCCAACCAGATAGCCCTCCAGCAGGCGGGGCGGGCAGGCGGGCGGGTTGGTGGCAGCGGCGCCAGCCCAGGCAGCACCCCTGCAGGCTGCTGCAGCACAGCTGGTCGATTCAGTTCTTCCCCACCAAGCCACTGCTGCCAGGAGGTTCACCTGGGAAAACGAGGCGAGCACCTGGAGGCGAGAGCAGCCACGATTCACCAGGTGTGTTTCCTGCTCGCTGCTGCCTGCTGGAGCACAGAACAACTCCAAGCTGTTCAGGAGAGGGCACGAGCAGGCCCAGGGCGCCACGCTGCTCTGAGTCGCAGCAGGACCGCCCAGCCGCACCGTCCCCTTTCCTGATCCTTGCGCCAGTTGTGCCAGCTGAGCGCCTGCGCCGCTGCCCCCCACTTGAAGGAGGGCTTGTGCTGCTGCCGGCCCAGGCCGCCAGTGCCTGCTCATCTCCCTCCCACCAGCACCTGCCATCAGAGCGGCCATGCTGTGCCTTTCCATTCCAAATCCCAACTTTTTTGGATGCATGTCAACAGCTTGTCAGGCCATGACAAGGGCATAACATCTTGTTGACATTTCCCATGTCACACAGGACAAGGGAGCAACATGGGGCTTGTCAACAGGGGGCTTTGGAACAGGGGGCTTGTCGACACCATGTCGGGCGTGACATGGTGTCAACAAGCCTCCTATCCACAAGGGCCAATGTCAACAAGATGTTGAAATGGGATCCCTGAATTGAGATCCAGGGAATGCTTCAGGCGTTCTCTGCTGCCCAGAAGGCTCCAGGCAGCCTGGGCGCCCAGGCGTGGGACCCCTTGCAGCTTGCCCTGCTGCAGACCGCAGCACCCCCAGCAGGCGCGTCCGCATGGGGTTAGCCACACACCCAGCGCCCTTCCGGCACCGTTTCACTTCTTTCCGGCGCATTGAAAGCCAAATACATGCTTTTGGGCAGTCAAGGGCCCTTGCCTGCCGCTCTGGACGCGGGCCCATTACCGCACACCCCAACCCTAGGTTTTCGCTGGCTTGCTGCCTTGACGCCGTCTCCCGGAAGCATCGGAAGGTCACACAAATACCGGGTGAGCTCAGCGGTGGGCTACCTTGGCCAACTGTCGCCCCCAATTGCTTGGTGGCGGGCCTCACCGAACGCCCGTGTCCGCATTTAGGCGGGTGGGTGCATGCGAGCACGGGGGGAGGATGCCGCCAGGTCAGCGGGGCCAGATGGAAGCGGGCGGGCCCTGAGATGGCATCCCCCGCCCCGCCACCCGCTCTGCCGCCTTGCATGTGGAGCAGGTGCAGGGCCTTGTCCTGCACCCCCCACATGCAGCCTCACCACAATCAGGCAACCTGAATTCTACACTAGCATGACCTACATCTGCCCGATCCCCCCTTCGCGCAGTCCATTGTGCTACTCCCATCAAACCGCTGTCTCCCTTGGTGGCGGTGGCGGGGCGCTGCCCCGGGCCGCCACTCCCCACCAGCCCAGCTGCCTCCCTCGCTGTGCACACCACCCGCAAACACCCTCAGCTCGCCCCTTCCCTCCCTCTCATATCCCTTTTCCCAATGTGCATTGCCGCCTTTGCATTTGGGTTGGCGGACGGGGCTGGGGGGCGTCTGCGCCCCCCGCCCCCGTTTCCCTCCACCCCCTGCCCCAGTGTTTTCATTTTCCCTGCCCCCAGAATGCTGTGTAAACGTGCCACACTGCTGGGAAGGGCAACAAGGGGGGTACATGTGGACAAGGGGTTTACAAGCAGCTTGTTTTCTGCTGTTGACATGGCGCTTGCCGACATGGGCTGACAAGCCCCTTACTACAAGCCCCTTACTACAAGCCCCAAGCAAGCGACATGTTGAGTGATCTTGTTGACAAGGGCTGACAAGGGCCCTTGTTTTTGCCTTGTCTACACCATGTTGACATGGGGCCCAAAAATTCCAAGTTGGTGCATGTATCAATTGTGCCGGCACTGCCGCAGAGCAATGCTGGCAGCAGAGCAATTTCACAGCAAGACAGCTGTGCAAAAACAGTTCCCAGCAAATGGCATGAGCAAGGCGTGCGGAGGCAAGGGCACTGCGAAAGACACGGCAACAGGCGGTAGTCACCAGAGCAACAGGCAGCAGGACGGGTCGCTGGCCAGGAAACTTGGCGGCATTGCGGGCAACCCACAATAACATAAGGGACAATGAATTGTCAGGTTAATCAACATCACTGTGGGAAGATACATATAAAAGAACGTTTCGGCAACTGCCGCCATGCGGCTCACGGCAGCGGGCCCAGCAGCGACCGCACCGCCGCCGCCTTGCTCAGCATCCAGCAGTTGCCCAGCAGCAGCCAGGCCGCCACGCACAGCTGCAGCCCGCAGTAGCCCTCGCCGCAGCACAGCTCAGCGAGCTCCGCATCTGCCGCGGCCCAGGCACGGCTGGCGGCACTCCCGGCAGCCGCAGCCCACCGCCAGGGTGGCCCAGCAGCGTCCAGCCGCCGCCGTCGAGCAGGGGCGGGTGGCGAGGGCAGCGTCACGGCGCCAGCCATCCAGCCGGCAGCCAGCGTAGGCAGCAGCACGCCCACCACTGCCTGCTGCATGGTCAGCAGCGCCATGCAGTGCAGCTGGCGCTGGGCGGCAGGGGCTGCACATGCAGGAAGGCAGGGAGGCACCCGTGAGCGCAAGGCGGCTCGCTGACCGCATTTCCTGCGCGGTGCAGAGCACTGGCGCCCGCAGGCCGCACGCTCCCTGGCTTTCAGGCTGGCTCTCTGGTGCCGGTGCTGCGGCACCTTGCGGCCGGCGCCTCTGCACGCACCGAAGGCGGATCCAAGCCGCGGTGGCCACGCACCTGCCAGCAAGTCGCGCTGGTGCTGCTGCGGCAGGCCCAGCTCCGGATGCAGCAGGTCTGGCAGGACGCCCAGCGCCTCCCACGTGCTGGCCAGCCGCGCCGCCGTGAACGGGTGCGTCAGCAGCGGCAGGCGGCAGAAGGCGGCACCGTGGGGGGCGGCCAGCAGCATCAGAGCTGTCTGCTGCGCCAGCACGGCCAGCGGCGGCTGCGGAAGGGCCACGCCCACAAACGCCGAATGCAGCGTGCGGGTGCCTGCAGGTGCAGGCGGTGGCACAGGAGAGCTGACAGCGAGGGTTTGCCGCAGACGTAGACCAGCAAAGCATTATGAGCAGCGCAGCTGCACAGGCACGTCGGCAGGCCCAGCGCGGGGGCTCCCACCTGCCGCAATCCGCAGCCAGTCCACCACGCCCCCGGCCGCTCCCGCCGTTGCCGATTGGTGCAGCAGCTTGGACACGCCTTCCTGCACCCGCAGGCCCGGCGGCGCGGCCAGGCAGGCTCCTGAGCAAGCAGCGTGACCGTCGTCAAACCGCGGATGCGGCAGCCAGAGTGGCCTGACAGATGCAGGCAGTGCCTGCCAGGGCACGCCAGCGGACAAGTGCATGCAGGTGATTGCAGGCAACTTGTGCGGGCAGGCCCCCACCCCGGTGGGTTGGTGCGTCGTTACGCAGGCGGCCGCCAGGCGGGATGCGCCAATGATCCACACCCTGCGCGGCAGCCAGGCAGAGCGGCCCAGCAGCCGTGTAGTTGAGTGGCACCGCATCGAGGTCCAGCATCCATCACAGCATGGCCCAGGGGAGGGCAGGCCCCGAGGGCACGGTTGCAGCACGACAGCCCGTCCAGCCCAGCCACCCTCTGGCGCGAGGCCATCGCGCACCCAGGCTGGCACAGGCACGAGAGCCAGCACGCACTCGGCGCACCTGTAGCGCAGCCACGCGGCCTGAGGGAGGCACAGCGCAGCCAGGCCCGCCGCAAAGACAGCCAGGCGCAGGCAGTCGTGGGCCTGGGGCGCTGCCGCCGCCGCCGAGTGCTGCCACATGACGCCTTGCACGACCAGCATCATCACATAGGTGGTCACCTCAGCGCCCCGCACCAGCTGCACCTGGCGCTGCTGGGGGTGCGCGGCCGGCGGCCCCGCGTCACCAGGCGGCGCCCCACCGCTCCCCGTCCAGGGCCCGCTGCCCGCCGCGTCACCAGGCGGCGCCCCAGAGCCCTCTCCCTCTCCTTGGTGGCACGGGCTGCTGCCCTGTGCGGGGGCTGCTGCCATGCGAGGCCCAGCGACTGGTGTGGCGGGCCCGATAGCCCGGGGCTGCCGCGATGAGAATTGCAGCAACAACAATATCCCCGCTGCCGCAAGGAGTTCCTTGTTTGCGAGCGGTTCGGCTACGGGGCTGCGGATATCGGAGCCCTTCCGGCGTTTGTGAGAGCTGGGGGACGTCGGCAGCAACGTGCACAGCAATGCTGGGAGAGGTAACGCAGCCATCGGAGATTTGGGCGCATGAGGCGGCAGCAGCGGCACCGGTTGCGAGTACTATGTGCGGCGGTGGTGCATTGGGTGCCGCAAGCGGGTGGCTGTGATGTTGAAACCGAAAGATGATAGCTGATGGTGATTCTGGCGCTGGCACTGCCCACTCCTGGTGCTCCGACATTGCGGTGTCCCGCAACTGGTTTCCGCAGCGGCGGTGACGGCGGCGTCAGCGGCGGCGTCAGGTACTGCAGTGAGGCCTGCTCCCGCGCGCACGGCGAACCCACAAGCCCGAGCGCCGGTGCCTGCGTGCTGTCGCGGCTGCCGCGCAGCCTTAACGGCTGCCTTGGTGCGTGGGATATCACGATAGCTTGCTGCAGATCGTGCGGCGGCCAGCCTGCCTGGTGTGCGGCACAGAGCGCAGGGCACGGCCTTACCTCCCTGTCACCATCCTGGAACACACACACGGTGCTCGTCTTTCAACTGCCTCATCTGGCGGTGAAGGGGTGGAATGGTGGGAGGGCTGGTTCCTGCACAGGTGTCCCGCCCTGTGCACAGTGTGCACTGCACACGTCACGCCACGCTGGCGCCTGGTGGCGCCCAGCATGTGGCTGCTCGAACGATGGGTACCCTATCAACGGCCTGCGTCGGAAGATCTCTTACCTGTGTTGTGCATGTAAATCGTTTTGTGCACGCCTGGGCAAGTGTTGGGCGAGGATACTTGTTACGCGGCCGCAGTGTTTCTGGCCCTCGTGGCAGCTTTGGCGATGGGCGGGCGATGAGGACTGCTGTCGCGTCCAAATTTCGCCAATCAGCTGGCGATGGCACATTGAGGATTGGCGAAATGCGGGGGAGCCACCCTTGCGCCTGGCACAGCGCAGCGGCCACATGCGGCGCCGCTGTTGCTTTGTCGGCACTTGCCTCCCTTTTGGGGGACTGGGGGCGAAGCCCCCAGCAAGCTGGCGCTTGTTTAACACTATGGAGTGAAGTTCCTGAGGAAAATTGGCCATTTCTCCTCAAAATATTGGCGATGTCAGTCATGGGGGCTGGCGACGCGCTGGCGATGTCGCCCCGCCGCCTGCCCTCATTTAGCCAGCCCTGGCTGGCGATGGGCG